ACAAAAATCTTGAATGTTGTAGTTGTGTTGCAGTATGATATGAAGTATTATACCTATATTCGACCTACGCAATCAACTTTGCCCACAGCTTTGGCCTATCCGATACAAAGCAACGCATATATGTCTCCCACACTCCAGTTGACAACCTCTGTCTAGCCACCAAACTAAGGATGATATGTTGAGCTTCTCTTGAAATCTGGTCCTTGTAACTTAAATAACTCCTTCCAAAATTGGTTGAGGAACGTCTTGTCTCTGTCTAATACAATCGATTCTAGCACTCTGTGAAAATGAACCATCTCTCGTATGACCACCATAGCGACTAAAACCGCAATGCAGAGGTGTCGTAATGGAATGAAATGTGCATACTTGCTTAGGCAATCCACTACCACCAAGATCACCATAAACCCCTTTGATCATGACAACCCTTCTATGAAACCCATTGTCACTTCTTCCCAAACCTTCTCTAGTAATGCTAAGGATTTTAACAGCTCGTTTGGCGCCATGGTCAAGCCTTTTTTTCGCTGGCACACATTGCACCGTGCAATCAAGTCTTCTACGTCTTTATGCATCTCAATCCAGTAAAGCTCTGTCAACATATAGTTGTATATCTTCTGCACCACAAAATGCCCCCTGATTGCACTGTCGTGAAACTCCTGCAAAAGTCTAGGGATGTACTATGATGCCCTTGTTAACACAAACAAAACTTGGGAGAGTAGTTATTGTCCCCTCAATGATTGATTACATCCTATAACAACTCTGCCCCTATCTAAATCTGAATCTAAGTAAATCGGCATGGTTTGACACTAAGAAGGGGGACACCCTCCTTTAATTTAATGGTGTGCTCGTGCTCCCTCAGATGTCCGTAAATTGTTGTAGGAGTTGCTAACCCATTCAGGAAACTCTACCAACTCGGGATCTCAAACCTACTCAATGCTCTGCAACTCTACCAAGTAGCCCATCCCTGTTTCCGGTATCGACTTAACCATGATTTTTAGCAAGACCATAGTTTTGCATGAGTTTAGCATGTCCTCTCAGCACCACCTTCCTACCCTCCACCTGAAACTCCATCATCAGCGATTTCCAGTTCTAGTCCACCATCTCCCCAAGCTTCTATAACAACTTTATTCCTAGAATCACATATGTGCAGCCCAAGTCCAAGGGGTGGAAGTCCACCACCTCTAGATCGTGTAGTGTCAGAACCAACCACTTGTAAATTCCACGACTTTCTATCTTTCCTGTGCCCATCATGACGTTGAAGCTCCCTGTAGTCACCAACTCTAACCTTAACTGATCCATGACCTGATTTGAGAAAAATTTATGTGCGGCCTCACTATCCACCAACACCACAATTGGTTGTTCTTTAATCCGTCCCCTCACTTTCATGGTACGATTCAGAGTAAATCCCACAACTGAATTGAGGGACACCTCCACTATAGTCAAGTGTAGATGCTTCTTTTAGCTGCGTCCTGCTCTGATTCCTCAACCTCTGTCTCCTCCTCCTGAATTAAAAAGATCTGAAGGGTGTGCTCCTTGTAACGGTAGTCTGGGGCATACTTCTCATGATAGCGGTAACATAATAATTTTGTTGTTTTATCCTGCACTTCCGCATCGATGGGGCGTTTGAAATTGCCCCCAGAACAAGTGCTCGTATTCTTCTCCTTTGGCATCTCTTTCTGAAATGACACCGCCCAAGTCCTTGTTGTCGTGGATGTTAAGGCACTCTTGTAGAATGCTCTTATGTTATCGTTTTTGCTTAGTTTTCTTCACTTGGTTTTTTGCCTTCCATCATTTCCCTCAATCGACGTAGCCTCAATAGTCAAATGGCCGCTCTGATGTCGAGCTTCAGACCTTTCAGGAAGTTCCCCTCCAGTTTTGCTGCAAAAATATCCCTCAAATGCTCGGAAAAAAGCTCAAATTTCTCCCTCCATTCCAAGACCGTTCCCTCTTGAGTCAAAGCATAAATTGTTCGTATAGGTCTCCTTCCCAAAAAGCTCGAAAACACTCCAACAAACAATACTTAGGGTCTGTTTGGGGTAGCTGCAACTTATCCAGATAAGCAGCTTAGCAGCTTATCCTGATAATCATCCTGATAATCTGTTGATCGGCAACTTATCCGATAAGCTGACAGGTTGTTTGATTTTTGCATTTGAAAAACAGTTGATTCTGGATAAATGACAATTCCGCCCCTGTTCTAGATAAATAAAATTTGCATAGAAAGCGTTGAATAGGAAACAAGGCACCAACGAATCTTACGACATTTAAAAATCTATTTCAATGCCTCAAAAACATTGGATGGAAAGCTTTGAACTGTAACAAGGCACCTACAACTATTGCGGCATTGCAAAATTTATTTCAATGTTTCAAATTATTGGATGGAAAGCATTGAACCAGAAACAAAGAACAAAAACCTATTGCGGTATTTCCTAATCTATGCCCTAGAAACATTGGAGGTCGGGACAGGGTTAAAAGTTTACCTAGCTGCAGACATGAATCCTTTCGAGCATTACAGGCTGTGAGCGTTGCTCCCGCTCGATGGGATAGAGCAGAATGTTTCACTTTGCCCTAGAGATTGCAGAGGCACTCTGAGGACCTGATTAGGATATTTCGAGACGAACGAAGAGGAATGAGGAACGAAGTGGAACGAAGAGGAGGTATAGCGCGATACTTACCTTGGTCGGAGTGGTGCAAAAGGATGAGAAAGATGGGAGTTTCGGTGGTCTTTGTAACGAGCGATCCCTTTGTTGCCATCGCGGTTTTCGTCGTGGGAGAGAAGGGATCGCGAGAGATCCACGCAAGAGATCCATGCGAGAGGAGGCAGAGGAGAAGGCGAGAGGGTCAAGAGATCCGTGCGAAAGGAGATGAAAGCGAGAGTTGTCTTTCGCTTGAATGAAATGTGGATTGTGGGGTCTTACCGCGATCCGCGTTTAATGTAAAATTGCAAACGGCTTATTTAAAAATGCCCCATAAACGTCTTTTTTAAACAGTGAGTGGCGTTTTCAAAACGCCACCGCTGTGAATAAGCTCCCACAAACGCACCCTTAAACTCCTTCCACAAATGCACTAAATACATTGCCTCCATTCACTAAAACCAAACTAGGATATTTCCCTCCAAACATAATCCCGCCTCCATGAGCTTCTTTTCCTCAATTAACCAACTTGACTGCAAAGTATCGCTCCACCCAATACACCCACCCATGTGTATCTTCCCCATCAAAGATCGGCATCTTCAGTTTTCTGACCTTGGCATCTCCACCCCAACTTCATCTTCCTCCAATGTTTCCCCTGATGTGTCTAGAGTGAAACTCCCTCCTACAATCATAACCATGGCCCACACCTGATTCTCATCTTCCTCCTTTGTGCTCTTCTGCGCCCCTTGCACCACCCCCCCTCTCATTTTTGGCCCAGCCTCCTCCATCAGGAGTCTCCACTCCCCCTCCTCGCGGAGTCCTAGGAGAACGATATTAGTGGTAGATGTTATCCTCTTCATTGTCTTCTTGTTCAATCTTCTTCCCTTTTGATCTAGCCAAGGATTCCCTAATCAACCCTTGATTAAAATTTATAACTTGAGATGTTGGCATGACCTTAGATTGCATCTCAATGAGATTCTTTATCATCTCTCGCATTTCTCCTATGCTCTAAAATCCGTCCTCCATTCGGCTCTCTATGGAAGAAAATCTGTCCTCAATGGTGGCCAACCATTCTTTTATTCCCAATCTGATTTGTCTAACTTTTTCCTTTAGCAGATCCACTTTCTTTGTTACACGTCCAAGATCTTGTTGTGATACCAATTTGATACGATTCAGAGCCAAAAACAACGAACAAGCACGACAGAATTGCAATATAAATGTAGAAAAACTAAAATGGGAGTTGCTATTATAAGAATTGAAGAAAACAAGCAAGAAACAATGATGATCTACTATTCGAGAGGTAGATCGTCTCTCCACAAACCTTAGACGTCGCTAGGAATACCACCAGAAGAGAATAAAAACTGCAACCAAAACAAACCATAGGTTATTAGCCCTAATTTAACCCTCCCAAAACTGTTAAAACTTCCCCCCAAAACTCCCTTCAATTTCTCCTCCTTGAATAGGTGATTACAGCCCTTTTGGGCCCCTTCCGTTCGTTTGATACCGCGATCGGTGCTCCCATCATGCCTCCCCTCCCTCCTGAGCCGCTCGGCTCCTAGGCAACTAAGGCAGACTGATCGGTTGGTTCTCGGCCGGTCCCGCCTAGATTGATTGGGTAACCAACATAACAAATTGTTCTATTGTTAGTGGGATTGATTTATTAAGATTTAATTATGTTTATGAGGTTGCAAACAAAGGTTAAATTACTACTCACCACTAAATGTTATGAGGATTAAATCAATAATTCTTTCAAAGATGAGTATATTTTAATCTTTGATTGCAATTGTAGAATAAATCTTTTCTAGATATTTTCAACGATTGTACGTTTTCTAATGGGTGATAAGGTTCTATGAGGATTGGAAAAAAGGGGTAGACATAAGGTTGGTTAGGCAGCAGCAAGAAGACAAAATTAGGCAACCACTGTTAAATTTATCCTCAAACAGCTTAGATAAATTGATAGCTTGGCCCAGGGAATATGGATGGCATTTATCTTTGATTTTCAAGCAGTTGTATAATTATTTGATAAAAATATAGCGTTAAAAAATGTTTACTTTGAAATGGGATTTTAAACAGGACTCCAATAGAATTTTACTAGGCTAATTGTTAAGCGAATTTAAATCAACGGGCTATTAAGTAAAACCCATTTGATAGAGTCCAATAAAGCCCTAATGAGTTGGATACAATTTACAACAAGGGCACCAACACTTGCTGCAGAAAATAATCGGCACAAACTTGCACTACTCTTCCAGGTGCATTAATGCATCACAAAACTGTGAAATAAGCAGCTACTAAAGTAAGGGATGCACCATAGAAGAAACAAACGTCTCTATTGGTCGTAATAAATTGGAGTTGAGGTTGTATAAAGTGGCTTACCATTACATCAAACTGCTCAGGCTTTGAAACAAGTTGCATGCAGCAATTGTCAACAATAATCCTCATTATATTTTATCCCAGGGATATTTTGTAGCAACCTCACGGCAGGATTCTAGAAAAAGACCATCGGCAAGCTTCATGATGTTAGCTTTATGTACCGCTGTAACTTTCTTTCTGTTGTTGAGGTAGGCATACTCAAAAGCATACTTTGCAATGCGCTCTGAGCAAAACTTTGTGATTACCTGGTCAAGCCATAAAAAGCAAATAAGAATAAGGTAGACACAAGCTTGCTAAGCAATAAATGAGAAATAATGTAGTTTAAGAAAGGTGAACAAGCACTTAAAACAATGGAAGACAAATGAAATCATGTCAAAAAAAAGTTCTGCTGATGCATTCAGCTACAGAAATCATTTGGCAGATTTGGTTCAGACTCATGGTTTGACCGGGCAATAATGTGATCATGTCAAGGATGGGCTACTTTATATTTTTACTTTTGTCTTTATTTTTATTTTAAAGTTTTTAATTTTATTTTGTTTGTAATGTGACATGAAATAAAATAGGTTTGATAACTTATATATATTCTAATCTACTTTTACTATTACTAAAGATGTATATGTATGTGATTATTATAGTTGCTTGCAGGGTAGTGGTGAGCGTCCGAGGTAACGTGGGTAGTGAGGGCTGACAGAAACAATACAAGTGAATGATAGATATTATGCTGGTATGATTTTCAGCAGTTAGATCTTCATTTATACTTGCTCTATTCTTGAAAATCCAATACACTAATTCATTTAATTTCATATATGTCAGCAGTCCAAACATTCAGAGGATTTCACGAGCAACATGCAAGAAAGAAAAATAGGAGTCACCCAAATAACATCTGACTTAATAGGGCCCAAATAGATGGTTCAAGTTCCTGGGTGCCTAGACATGGTGCCCAGGTGCCAGAGACAGCACACCTGAATTTTCATAGGTTGGAAATAGAGAGCTCAAGATCTAGACACCTAATAGGTTTTTACACAGATTCCATCCCAATTTTGAAAACTGATGAAAGGCTGGTCAAATATTGAGCGGCATAATGCCAATTTTGAGCAAGCTATTTACGGAATTGAATAAGACTATAAAAGAAACAAGCATTTGCTTTTTGCGATCTTCTAAGGACTTCTTCGGAGGCACATGTAGCAGAGCATGGAGGCGACTAGGGAAAAAAAGCGAGGATGATAGCAGAGATGGAGCAGAGCGAGAGCATGAAACCCTGACTCCAATCTTATTTTTGATTGTTTGCTTATAATCATTTATTTTGTTTTCTTTTCAAGCAAAGCTGAATCCCTCCTCCAGGGATTATATGTAATCAATGTGTTTTGTTGATTTATTATTAATGATGAATTTCATATTTTTAGCTCCGTCATTACTGCATACTTTTCAATCTATTCTTCATTATTTTTAGCTGATTGGCAACCTAGAAGGTATACTGTCACAAATTTATTAAAGACAAACTTGCTAAGATCATGCCAATAAATGAGTATAAGATATCTTGGCAAATCCTAATCATAGGATCTTTGTAGAAACAAAAATGATTAAATAAAAAAAATTGGGGCTAAGGGGATGTTTTAACTGTTGTAATCCTCCCTTTTTTTCTCATTGCGGAACTGCGGCTACAGGAAAAATGTCTGGAATTGAATCACATGATGGTGAATGCACGACGGGTGCAATACTGCAGGTGAGGAACTGCAGGCTAAATGTCGGTCTCTGTGTGCAACTGGAAAGATGAACGGAAGAACAGGTGGTGGGATTGCACGGTGCTTTATGCGCTTTCTGCGCTTTCTGCACTTTCTGAGCTTGCAAAAAAGTGTGGGAGAGATGAAGCTGAGACAATTCGTGCAGGCCTAAGAAACATCGCGATTAAGTTTTTATTTTCTAATTAGCCGCAAGTGGGGCTTATGCTCCCCATAGGGCGTAAAATACATTTATGGGCTTAAAAGGCATGCGGGGGCATATGCCCCATGACGATTATGCACCCCTCATTGGGTTGGGGCGTGCCCCAATAACGGCTTTTAAAATAGAGGATGTGAGAACATCAATTATAGAGTTTACAAAGTTGATTTTGGCTGCATATGTTCCTTAATTGCAAGATACTTTTTCCTTATAGGTAGTTGTTCAATTAAGCCATCTTTATTCAAAAAGAGAACAAATTTCAAATGTTTCCAATCTTTTGCACATCTATTATCAGTAAAATTAATCCATCTAAAACGAAGAAAAAAAACAAGAGAACTTACGAAGCACTAAGCAAGCCTGTGAGGATAACGTGAATGACATCACCAGCGTAACCTTTATTTAATATCATATTTGAGCTATTCCACATTTCAAAAGCATAGCTACTGTGGCTAAGGAACAATACATGCCCAACACCTAATCGATAAATCAGCCCCTCATAAATGCAAGAAATATAGGCAACATTTAAATCTTCTTATACTTTTACACTACAAATTTCTCCCCTGTATAAGATGCCAACATCATATTTAGTTCACCAAAATATGATTTAGTCCTATTTAGTGTGTTTTTTCATAGTTCTAATTTCTTCAATTTTGTGTTGTGCTTACTGTTATACAAATTTTAAACATTTTCGTTATAGTGTGGAAGAATAATTTGTTAGATATAGAGTTCTTGAAGTCAAAACATGATTTGTTTCTCTATTTTTTTTTTCTTTTAAATTGAAGATGTTAAACAATAAATTAAGCTTTAATACTCCATCATATTTAATTCACCATTACTGATTTGTTAAACAGTAATAGATTTCCTATTATTTTAGTGCGTATACATGATTTCTTTTTTTGCATAGCTGCTCTTCATCAGAAACACCTTCTGTAATTTGGGAATTGATATAATTTCGGAGGACATTAGTTAAGATATAATGATAAATATTATGTTATTGATAGTGTGATTTTTTTATTTTTAAATGGCCAATGGTGCGCCTTATATTTTTAAAAAGATATATTTAGTGTATATTAATAAGAAAATAAAATCACTTTCATTTCTTGCTATGTTAACAACTATTTCATATCAATATCACTTATGTTTCCTTTTTTTTTTGGGGGGGGGGGGGGGGGGGAAGGGGTGCAGATTCGTGGGGGGGAAGGTGTGCAGAATAGTCCTTTAATGAAAACCTCTCCTAATTTGGGCATTGACATTGGGATAGGTCAGAGTTAGAATGAAAGGTGATCCTCCTCCTCAGCACTATTTTGGAGCCATGGATGTTTGTAACTAAGGGGTCATAATTGAAGGCGACAACGAAGCTTTATCAAACATTTTTGGAAAGCATGGAGGATAAGATTTGGCAACAACAGTTCGGTAAAGAATCGGACATTAATTTTCTTTTTGATTTTAGACAAGTTATTTTCTTTTTTGCTAATAGAGAATGAAACAAAACGGCCTATTTTTTTGCTCAGCTAGCTTTGGATAAGTCTTTTATTTGGGACGTTCACACTTGTGACACCATTTGTTTGAGGGTGGCGGTGGTCAAAGCTAACCACACTGCACCTTTTGTGTAACTTTTATAACTCTATCTTGTACTTTTGGATACATTAATGCAAAATGCACAAAACTATTGCAGTGAAATATGCTGATAAAAAAGAAGAAATTATTGAATAATTTATTGGAATTAAATATATTTCTTCAGCAAGAACAGTTGCACACAAGGCAACCGTTAAATTTGTACTAACAAAATATTCATTAAATTTATATAGGATACGATATCAAGGCTATGATGGGGCTTAAATATGCAAGACAAATTTAATGGTTTGAAAGCACTTATTTTTAATGATAATCCTTAAGCATATTATGTTCATTGTTTTGTTGATTAACTTCAATTATGTTTCTTAGCAAAAAATCATTGCAAGTAAAACATCTTTCGATTTGGCAAGTAAAATATCTTTTTTAGTACGTTTCAAAAATTCCGAATACGGTAAGAGCACTTTGTAAGAGAAGCGATACCCTTAAGATTATTCAACATGATAATATTTTTTGCATTAAAAATTCAAAGATTTAATTAATTGTTGTGATTTAAATTAAAAATTAATTTGCAACGAGCTCATGACATAAATTACAACTCAAGTATTCATATTTTAATTAGTATTATTTAAATATATGAATATATACTTGAAAAATTCGAGATAGTAAAAAAAGGATGAGTACATATTCAATAGTCAATTGAAGTTGGTGTTATAAAAGTTACAATTGAATCCGTTAACTTTGTCTTCACAATACATTTAATGCTTTAATATTTTGAAGATTACAAATAAATTGCGACAATCTATACAAAAAAAATATCACAAAAAAAATTAATTTTTAATAGCACTTTGTAAGAGAAGTGATACCCTTAAGATTATTCAACATGATAATATTTTTTGCATTAAAAATTCAAAGATTTAATTAATTGTTGTGATTTAAATTAAAAATTAATTTGCAACGAGCTCATGACATATATTACAACTCAAGTATTCATATTTTAATTAGTATTATTAAAATATATGAATATATACTTGAAGCATTCGAGATAGTAAAAAAATGATGGCTACATATTCAATAGTCAATTGAAGTTGGTGTTATAAAAGTTGCAATTGAATCTATTAACTCTGTCTTCACAATACATTTACAACAACAACAACTACAACAAAACCTTAATCCCACAACAACAACAACAACAACAAAGCTTTAATCTTCACATTACATTTAATGTTTAATATTTTGAAAATTACAAATAAATTGTGACAATCTATACATTAAAAATATCACGAAATTAAGAATACAATAAAACTAGTGTAAGAACCCAAAGAACATTTATAGATGATGATGGAGAATGAATGAGTTTCTTTATTAGATGAAGAGTCATTTTTGTAAGATTTTTAAAATTTTATTACGGATATGAATTGCACCTACAAGGGTCGTCGTCAGTCAATAAGAGGTAAATAACAAATTTTTATCATTAGCATGTTGAGTTATTTTACTGACATGAAATTTCAAGAGCTGAATATTCATCTCTCGAAAGCAAGTATTGAGCTTTTTTTTAGTGAAATGTCTAAACCTAGTGATTAAAATTGCACAATTAAACATAAGCCTCTGTGTGCAATAGCAAAAAATTCTAAGTTGAGGCATAGGCCTCACGTGATCTACGTGTTGCGTACGCCTCAGGAGCGCTTTGCCTCGACGAAGTTGAGGTGTGCGCCTCATTTTCCCATATAAACTT